TATTATGGGGAAATCTAGCATGGCTCAACTGGAGAGTTCAACTAGTAAAATGCTTAAATCAGGTCTGAGAGGTGAGCATTACAATTATTGGTAGAGTTAGTGCTTCAGCTGTCCTGAAGTAGTCCTCAGAGTAAAGCTGCTTCATGGCTTAGTGAAAACAGACTAACTGGGTATTTCTTCCCCTATTTTATAAAGGAGTACCACCCAAAATCGAAGCTCTCCCATCTGATATCAGCATTGAGGAAGGAAAAGTTCTCACACTATCCTGTGCCTTTTCGGGTGAACCTGCTCCTGAAATAACATGGTACTGCAGAGGGAGAAAAATTACCAGTCAGGACCAGCAAGGCAGATTCCACATCGAAACCAGTGAAGATCTAACCACCCTGATCATCATGGATGTCCAGAAGAACGACGGTGGACTTTATACTCTGAATTTAGGGAATGAATTCGGTACCGATTCTGCCACTGTGAATATAAATATCCGATCACCTTAGAGAGCTTAATCTATATTATTTACACTTGTATTTTTACAAGTGATTCATATATGGACTGAAATATCTGATATGTAAATATAAAAGAAAAATATTTTTTTTACCTACCTGAACGAGACAAAGTCCAGATCTATACATTATGACTTATAGTCATTATTGACCTAAGAATTTAAACCACTTTTTTCACTGACATGTACATACTGTATATAGCCGAAGTTAACGGTTATGAAGTTTTGTACCGTTTATTTTATGACATTTTGAAACGTAACTTTTGGAACTAACAGTTGGCAGGGGAAAGTTTCCTAGCAAACGACTACCCAGCTCAACATTTAACTAATTTTTGCGCCTCAACTCATTGTTGATGTCTAAGAATGCCTCAACAGGTAGAGAGGCTCCCTGTTGAAGATTACCTACACCTAAGACATGATACTGTGCACAGTATTTCATACGTGCACAAATATTTATGTTGAATCAGAAATGTAAGGCATTGGTGATGTTTGCAATTACCCTCCTGTAAGCATTGCTTTAATGTTTTACATTGCATCTGATTATGTCATAATTTTCCTACCTGACTGACAATTTCTGGACAAAGTGCAAGCGGCCAGCACTTTGTTCACCCACTGTGTACTGTTTCTGACATATTGACTGCCTGAATAGCTTTTAAAAAAGTAACATCACCTGGCCATCCCCTTAATCAACAAAGCTATTTAGGTATTCAAGTGCAGCAGCAGTACCCCATCTCGGAGGTTCTTAGGGTGCAGTGAGTGAGTTTGTGTGGTAGTATTAGACACCCAGTAGTCACTTCCAGGCAACTAAGCAATGAACCACAGTTTGAAAACAAACTGTTGCTACAACATCAAATACCAGTCTTCACTTCAATTTGCTTTAGTTCTCCTAATGTAGTAATAGAGCTTAGTAGCTGTTGAACCTCCTTGAGATAGAATTGTTAATTTGAAATAAAGCATGCTTTCTGCACCATAAAGTCTGTGACTCCTTCTTTATTTATTATGCTGCTTTTACAGTTTCTGTACTACACTATAAAAAAAAATTGCTAAAACAAAAGATGAGACAGAAATGCAGTTCTCCAATGTAAACCAGGGAGTTAACTGTTGACAATCCAGCCATCTGCCAGAAACAGCCTATCCACCAGCCAGCCTTGGAAAGTTACTTCAAAAAAAATGTTCTTCATAGGTTTCTTATTGACAAAGGATAAATTCTAGCACACGCCTAAACATTGTGCTGTTCTTACCCTTCTGTTATTTCCAGGCTTTCCTCTACACTGTCTTGGTTTTTTGGCAGCTTCAACCTGTACAGACTAGTTGACCCTAATTGCCTGGACCAACAAATTGTCACCTGCAGTGGGTGATTAATCAATTCTTCATCCCACAAGTCAGCTGACTTCTCTATCACAGCAAAGCCTGTCTTCACACTTGGGGAGCTGTGGGAGGGATTGGGATATGTTATCTATGGGTAAGAGAGTATCAAGGTCAAAGAAGCAAGTCTGCTTCTAGAATTCACTCAGTAGAAAAAGCTTGAGAGCAAACACATTCACAGAAATGCAACACTTCAGGAGCTGTAAAATTCTCTGAAGTGGAGCAAGAGCATTACTTAGCAAACATGATGCCATCGCTGTGATTGTCAACATACCACTAACACTAAAAAAAAAAAACAACTCAAGTTCATCAGAAGAAATGGAGCGGATAAAATGTTTAAAAACCTATTCCAAAAAGACTCACTGCAGAATCTTTTTTTACACTTTCCTATAACCCTATATATTATCACTCTCTATCCAAATTATGCAGGAAAGCTAAAAAATAGGGACAAAACAAGGACTAATGTAAAAACAAGGATTTCAGAAAAGCTAAGCTCTGGGTCAGGACTAAATCCAAATGTTTTGAAATGATGGAAGCAATAATTATAAGTATGAAAGTGTTTAAGAGGCCATATTATTTCTTCCTTAGGGAGAAAAGCTGAAAAAAATTAAGTTTAAAAGGCTGTTTATTTTAATCTTTAAACCATTCAAAGAAAAAAAAAAACTCAAGAAAGTTTCTAATTCCCATTTCTTTAGATGTTTAAAAACACCCCAACCAACAAACTCAATACAAGAAAAAAATGTACAGTCTTGTTTAGCTAACAAGTAACTTGTGTACACAGGCACATAATAAAGCTAACACTAAAAACACACTAGATATTTAATTATCTCAGCAGAAAGAGGTAAGTGATAGACAGCATCTGCAGATTTAACCATGGCCCCTTCTACACAAAGGCTACTGAAACTCAATCTCACATGGCCTCTACTCAGTCTCAAAACACTCAGTCAATGAAGAGGAAACACACTGTATGTTGTTGTGTGCGATGGTGTAAGCAAGTTCATCCTGCCAGCACCTCTCTGGCCCAACTCTGCACAGCACTTAAAAACAAGCACTTTCAGCAGATGAGTCACTCATGTCTAAAAATAGGATTTAAAATACTTAGGGGCTTTGCTGAAACACAGCTTGAATAGATAATGTTGCAGGCCGACCAGCTGAGCCAGTGTTTTTCCACAAGACTGCTAAGCAAATGCTAACCTAGAGTGACATTGCTGAAGTCACAATCCAAAGCTTCGATATTCCATTGCACAGAACACATCCCTAAGAATAACATTTTTCAAGACAACAGATTAAGCAATTTCTGGGTGAAAAGACAAACATTTTATTTAAACTTACTATATCCAGGTCAAATACTGGGATTTCTAACTATATAAGCTGACATTTGCTCTCTTAGATAGACAGATCAGATCTATTGTGCTATAGGACCAAATTTAAAAAAATATCTCACCACTGATATAGTGTATGAAAGCCTTTGGCACTCATGTTTCCTGAGTGCTGATGTGTAAAGAAAAACTTTTTAACAAAGCTCTGTGAGCTGCTGTGTAAATCCTTCTATAAAGCTGTGTATTTTCCACTAACATTTTACATGTGGCAGCTTGAGAAAAATAACTGTAATGGTGGAGAGTAATAATAACACTGAGAGATTAATTTTATTGCATTTTAGCAGGTTTTCAGACATAGACATTTCCTTTATTCAGGTATCACACCCCTTTTAAAAGTTTCTAATTTGCACCAACAGGACAAACAGCTTACACTAGAATATTCAGTGATAGGGGTGTAGCAAAACTCAAGTTTATAATTTGTGAAAATAATCTTAACAAAAACAAATAGGTGTGATTTCAATTTTTAAGTAAGGAATAACATTTTTTGCAGAAGCAACCACTGAAGTATTCCTATCTCAAAGATTGCTTTCTCTGAGGGAAAAATGTTTAAAAAGTGAAGCTGAATTACTAAGTTGAAAGACATAACAATAATTTACAGTACTTTAAAAGCCCCTGAACATTAAAATCTCAGTATTCATAGCTCTCCAAATCACTGAGTGCCTTACCATTAATTCTTTATAATTGAAGCTGGTAATTTCTAAGTATTTTATTTCTAATTATCTGATGTTAGGAACTTTAGAGATATCACTGAAGTTACTGCTTTTCATCTAAATATATGTCCCATGCTTATATGCTTTGATGAAACTTGAGCTAGTTTCAGACTGATCTCAGAAGCACGTGAGATCAAAACTAGAAGTACCAACTACCTATGCTGTTGAGGCTCAGCTCTCATTCTGCACTAGCAAGAATGATACAATCAGGCATTCCTGATAAGCTCTCCCATAAATTTGGAAATTAAATATGTAAGAGCAGCCAAGTATTTTTTAGTCTTACTTTGCATGGATCATTGTGATTCAGCCAGATAATTTTCAGAAATTATTTCTTAATTCCAGGTACCAAAAGTATGACAGCATATTATCTTCACTAATTTCACTGAAATATATTTTAGGATGTTTGGCACAGGTATCTATATAAAGTCTGATTAAATAGAAACATATGACACATATAAACATAAAGCTGAAATGACGGCTTGGTGGACCTAGAAAACCTCAAAACAGCACTGAAGGAATTACATGCAAATTTTGTGCTTGGATGTGATCACAACAACTTTTGTCTTGTGGCAGTATTTAAAATTATTACTTACTACTACATTCACTGATCAGTCTCACTTTGTTTTTCCACAACATGGAGTCCAGCCTCTTTTCTTCATAGTAGGTGGAAGCAGAAAAAGATATCTGTCATTGTGACATATGATTAACACTGCAGAAGCTGGCAGAAACCTCAGTGAAGTTTCAAAAAGCACTTCTGACAATATTATTCAAGACGACACTCTCATTGCAGTATGTAGTTTACTTCTCTGAACATCTTCTTTAATACTTATTTTTACATTTGTCATGTCATACAGAATACATTAAAGCAAACATTCAGAAAAAAAATTTACAAGCACATGTGTGGCTGATGTGCATGTGCCAGTTTGCATGAAAACTGACAGAACTGAGCACAAATGACAGCTCTGAGCTGGTATCCACAAACCCCTTTTACAAACCATTCCATTCCACTTGAACCTGACATAATGCTTTATAAACTAGCATTTTATATAAGGCCAACAGCTCCTATGTTTTTCCTCAATATTTGGACCTATTTTGATTTAGATAAATCAATATTCCAAAAATTCATAAGGAAAGCTCCTATTCCCATCTGTTCTTTCCAGCCTGCTTCAAATCATTTATATACACAAAAGGAAGACAAGTTAAACGAAATTAAAGATCTGATTATAAAAACAGATTTTGGTATGTGCTTGAGTACAAAAAACCCTGTACATTTATTTAGCAATTGTGTAAATCAAGAACAGTAAATGGCTTGCTTCAAGTGCTCTACAGCTAAGACTTCATAGACCAAGTTCATCCTTAAACAAACATCCCAAATATCCTTACAAAAGCTTACAATGCTAATATTAACAACCTTCTTGACCAAGGTGCTAGTAGGCACTATTGTACTATATTACTCATTAATTATTAAGAGAGTCAGACTCTGACCTCACTTACAGTTAATGCAAATTTACACTGATGTAACTGAGAGCAGAATCCATCTTCTGGTGTATACCATCCTCAAATGATATAAAGGAGTTGCAAAAACAGACCCTCCCTTTTGTATAAATATGTCATAAATAAAACATATATAGATACAAATATTCATTACTACAGCAGCTTAGAACGGTCTAACATTTCAGCTCTTGTTTTTATCACACTTTGCTAAAAACACATCTTAAGTAAGCAGAGTAAATCTTAACAGCACTGTATTAATTATTTGTGATGCTACACACCCCAGAAACAATTTATGCACATTTTGAAGCTTTCAGTAGATCTTTAGACCCTTAGTAGTGAAAGTAGGTAGAAATTTTTGATGCAAAAAAGAATAAATAAATAAAAACTATTAAATATCCCGTGTTTGGTACAAATACTTCATATTAAGTTATTTTTATACATTTGTTTAGAAAAATACACTAAATATTTCTACTTTCATTGCCTAAAAATAAGGACTGGATTATGTATATCCTTGTGTTTTTAAAGGCAGCAATGTCAATTACTGCCAAGCTGCTGGAGCAGAGCCATTAGTGCCCATTCCCACAGCCCTTACACTGGCAAAAAAAAAAGCCATTGTGGGGCTAATCACAGCTCCAGGTGGATGACCTGGTACAAATGACCAAGAGGCCCATAGCACAAGTTGCATTTTCTCCAAAATAATGAAAACTTTTTGCTGAATTTTATAATGCTTGTTTACTAACGTATCGGTCAGACCTCCACATTTTTTTTAAAAAGAGCTGCATTTACAAATGTGGATGCTTATCTGTTAAAGCCATCATTTGTTCCAAAAAAATGCACATTCAAACTGTGAAATATTAGGAAAATACTCTTGCAAATAAACTATATAAAGATAAAATACACTTCAAAGATAGTATTTACGTTCTTCTATAAAGTGCAGAGAAATCCTTCTAAAAAGGGAAATAACTACTTCCTATAACAACAGTATAATTACAGCAGCTTTTGCATAGCGTTATTTATAGAAAATTTAATACTTTCAGTTGCTTCAGGAGGAAAAGGATGTAAGAGTCTCTTCCGGTTCAGATCTTTCCTTTGACACCAATTTACTTTCTTCAGGAATGGTTGATGATACCAGATCTCCATTGACAGCACCTCTAGAACAATGGGCAGATCCTATAAAGAGATCAATTAAGTATTTAATTTTCAGTCCCCAAAAGTATCATCCAATCTGTCAATTATTGTATTTGTAAAATATTTCCTAAATATAATCAATCAGAAGTCAAGTTAAAGTCTGCTTGAGAGGACTTATAATAGAGTCAAAATGCCAGCAAGATTCAGAAGGAAAAACCGCTGAAGAACTGACTACTGATTCAGCCCATCAAATCAGGGACTAAATTCTGATCATGACCTTTATTATTGGCAAGGATGTGTGCCTTCAGAGCTGTGCTGTTCTCTACAAAAGGCAAGAAGCCTCTGAAATGAACAACCTTTCCACAATGCACTGAATGAACTATCCCTGCAACTCACAGAAGTCAAAAAAAGGTAATTTCTTCTGTGACAATAACAGGTGGCAAACAGCCATATTCACATCACTAACTATATAATCATTCATGTGAACAAACATCCCTTTTCTAGATAGGTCTTAATTTTATCTTGCCAGTAATCCCACCGTTCTCAATATAACTACTCCAGCTGCAAGATCATTTGTAATATCAACGGAAGCCAGCCCAAGTCAACCAGGTAACAAACTATACAAGTGCTCTGATTTATAATATAGGAATCTTACAAATAAAACATTTTTCCTCATGCCAATGTCAGTGCTGCTCTAAACAAGGAAATAAATTGTACTGAAAGATACAAAAACTCCCTCCCTTTCAAACTTACTCTGAGACTCTTCAGAAGGTGTATCACTGTAAGATTCTGTATCCGAGTATGTTCTTCTGCGCCGCTGAGAAAATCGGTGAAGAGATGAACCCGGTTCTTTTACAGAGTGACTAATCCTACAAAGGAAGTGAGACCTATTAGCAAGGAAAATCTGTAACAACCCACACAAATTTTATATACTTTAAATTTGAAATAATTTTGGTTATTTCCCACCCAATCAATTTTATATACTTTAAATTGGAAATAACTTTGGTGCTCAGATTAAATTGTCAGTATTAATGCTTTTTTGCTAGTCTACCATAGCAGACTAAAAAAGGGACAGTCAATGATCTTAGTTTCACAACTACAAAGCCTGAAAGTGGAAATAAAAATGAAGGAAATAATTTCAGAAACTGAAATACTGACTGAAAAATAATGTTAGCGTTTCAAGCTCTAATTTCATGAACTTGCCAAAACAAGCCATTCACATAAAGCTTCTAGCATGATGAAATTTTGGTACTGTATTAAAAATAGCAGCTGCCACCAGTAGCTGAAAATCTGCACCTTTCTTTTTTTTAATTAGGTCAATTTATCATTTTTAATTTTTTCTCCACGCAAACAATTCGTCTCATATTTTGATTTTAATGCTAGCAAGTTCAGGGAGGTCTTTTGAGACACAAGAAAAAAACTTAAGGAAACAGAAAATTACCTTTCTGAATAGCAAGGACCAGGGTGGCTAATGGAACGCTTCATCTAGGGGAAAAAAAATTCCAAAGAACAAACAACACCAAAAATGTCACAAGCTACTCAGAAGAATGATATGGATATTTACATTACACCTTGCTTTATTTACAGTCTTTACAAAGAGAGACTGCAATATTTTTTTTAAAAAAAAGCAACCACTCTCAGTTAAAAATCTGATTAAACTATATGAAAATAGATGGATTGCCATCAATATTAAAAGTTTTAGAACATTCACACAGGAAATAGTTTACTACAAAAAGATGCTACCTCCTGTCTGTAGAATTCCTTCCCTCTTTAACTGAAGCTCCTCAAGGAGCCATTGTTAATTGCTATGATATACAGAAGTATCCAGACATTTTTCCTTTACCAAATGGAAGTTCAAATTCCTCATTACACAATAAAGGCAAATTATGCCTCTTGATTCCTTGTGGTTTCTCTGCTATTACTGTCAAATCTCTATGTATATCAAAGAAAGTTACTATTTTAAATAATGATCAGCTTTGTAAGTAAAGTGATTGAAGATGAAGTGATGAGAGATCCATATGGAAAGAAAGAGGTTCTCACAACAAAATTGCACAATACAGCTCATCTTGGAATACATACACAGAACTGAGAAAGCATTTGATTCCCCATACATTGTTCCTCTAAGGGAATTAATTAATAGTGAATAGTTATGCAAGTAATATCTTTATCGCGATATATCTTTTTGTTAAATAAGGGAATGATATATTAATAAAAACATCTTAAATTACATACACTGAAACATATGCTATCTTGCTAAAGTGCTTCAAGTCACAAACCACTTAAGCAAGAGGTGAAGTTATGCAATTTTTATGATCAGTGTATAGTTAGCACCCTAAAAAAACCAAACAGTTGAACTGAGGAAAAGTTAAACCTCATTAATTTATGAGATACCTCATTACAGGGCCTTGACAGCTATGATAAACTACTCTGATGATGTAAAGGCTAGCAAACTGCAAAGCAAAAGACTGAGAACAGAAAACTGATTTATATTTGGGACCAGTACTGACTTATAACTCAGTCAAGATTTCAACTGTGGACATCATAGCATGTAACAATAGCATAGTGTTCTGCCACTCCTCCCCCCAGTCTAACCACCAGGATGACACTTAGAAAAGATAATATTTCAAAATGTCAAAACCATTTGAATAGGTGATGGTGACACAGGAGAAACCAAGGGATCAGGGTGAGGCAGCTGGAACATTTCTGGCTTAAACTTGGCATTAGCAATCTTCACACATTCTTCAAGTGTTGTGATAAATGTATTACATGTGGCACTAAGCAAGGAAGAGGCTTCATTCATGTTCTGAAAGTAAATGAAAGCACAAACATAAGCAAGGGAAAAAAATAAAATATTCAAATACAACTTTCCTCCACCACCTCTCCCAGACACACTAGTCTCCCTCATTACCACTAAGAATTTATATTTCCCATTTTTTTAATCAAATGTATGCCTTACCATAAGGCCAATTTAAGAAAACACATGTGACAGCATTGCAATTTCTTTCTGACATCTGAATTTCTTTAAGGTACCAGCCAACAATGCCTTACTGCAAAGCTTGTCTCAGAGTGACTAACTGGTATCAGAAGATCCTTCAGTGAAACAAATGACTTGCAGCAGAAGGTGTGAACAGTTTTCTCACTCTAGAGCAAGGAGCTGCAGGTCCATTTCACCTTGAAAACTTGCTCTGTTGTGACTAAGTGCCAACCCCTACCTTTGCACTAAAGAACCAACAACATTGTTCACATGCTGCTCAAGAGTGCAAAGTATGAATGAAGTCATTCACAGTGTCCAGTCCTTTCATTCAAAAGCAGGAATACATTCTAACATTGTACTTGTGCACATTCAGAGACAGATATCTACACTGCATGTTTCCAATGCCTGGAACACTAGCTTTCACTGATAAGAAAATGGAATACCATCCCACAGAAGAAAATAAGAATGGACAAATTAAGATTGTTTTTCAACTACTTGAACAGAGATGCAAAACAAGACAAGATATTGTATTTCTCATATGATAGCTCTACTGGCCTTTCAACCAAATGGCTCAGGAACACAATTGGTTCCTAACACCTGGCACAATTACAGTTAAACCATCCAGGTACTTTACACACAGAAAATCACTATTAGTACATCTACATACAAGCATTCGAAAATTGACATCAACACTGGGGAGATGAATAAGGTTTAAGACAACAACAGTAACTTGTTGTGAGGTGTATTAGATAATGGAATGAAAAGAAATTCTAGAATTGTGCACCTCAATGCTGGGAGGAGAGCGAGTCTCATCATGGTGAACAAATTCTTGTATGGTATGAACTTGCTGCATCAAAAGATCACAGTAGAGACGAAGTTCAGACATTTTGGTTTTAAGAGATTCATTGGTCTCACTTATTTCTATGGAAAAAATGGAAATATAAATTTATTGCGTACAATGTACATACACATTATAATATTTAAGCACTTTTCACTTAAAGATCAATTTAAAAATCCACTTAAACCTCCACTTGATTTTGAGGAAAACTGGATTCTGCAATGAATCAAGAATTACACTTGAATCAAACAACACTTTTGGATAACTGGTGCTAATTAAATTACTATTATGAAAAAGGCACGTTATCAGGAAAAATAAAGCTGAAATGTTACTTGGCTGCTATGTAATGTTGAAAAAAATACTGGATAAAACTTATGCCACCCACCAGAATGACTGGAAACGGCTACATTAAGCCTTTCAAGAGAAATTATAGAAAAAGTAATAGTTACTATAAAGAGTTAATAGAACATCAGATATGAAATGTCTTCACAACAACTACAAACAATATGTTTATTCTAGTGACAACAACACCTTGTAGTATTTCAGCTTCTTAAGATACAAGAGATCAATACAGGTGACTTCTAACTCTAACACTGAGGGGGAATTTACCATCGTGACGACTACAAATAATTACAATTTATATTAAAAGACTTTGCACCACAACATTTATACTATGATTATTGGAAGAAGTGTTACCTAGTAACTAGTTACTCTAGGTAACATACATACCTTTTTCTTTTTTTGTTCTGGTATCTGCTAAACAGGCTTTGGCACTCCCCAGTGCCACCAGCCATCTTTGCCTTTCAGCTGCATTAACTGCTTTCATATAGAAATGCTGCTCCCCTGGGATGATTAGCTCCATTCTTGTGTTGTCTGTTGCATGAACTTGTGATAGAAAAGAAAAAAAATTGAAATAATAACCTCAGCTGAGTAACAATCATTTATTAAATACTGCTCAAAGTGTTTTAAAATGCTTATGATAACCCCACAGTAATACAGTAAATCACAAAGCACCACTGTTAATTAAGGAGAAGCCCAAAGCTGCTCAGCCTTTCTCCCCCTTTTCTTCACCAAAAGAACAAAATAACAAGCAAAATCAAGTAGAATGGCAAAAAGAAAAAAAAAATTTACAAGTGATCCTCCCCTCTTTACATTTTACTGATTTCATCTACACTAAAGAAACACTATCAAAAAGGAGCTACCACATGAAAAATTGATTGGGCCACTTGGTGGGCCATGTAAAATAAGTTCCACTTTTTAATATGAAAGTACCCACATCACAAGCTGAGTCACCTGTGAGGATCTGGAAAGAAATTCATAGTCAACAGCAATGGGAAGCTAGAAAACATCTTGCTATTAGCAAAGGAGGCTGATCTACAGTCAGGAATACTCTACAGACTAAACTCTTACTTCAGAACAAACCATTCACTTACTGTCTGAAATACACCCATCACCTGTGCATGTGTGTAGCTGCTAACAGTGACAAAAGTACAAATTACTGAGGAAACCAAAAGACTAAACACTTCTGGTTTAAAAGAATTGCCACTTTTGGATCATTGCTGCTGCTCTTCTGGAAAACTGGCTTTCATGATTCAGTCTCTATCCCTGCTCATAAGAGGAAAAAGCAGTAGAACTAAGCAGCTAGCTGACATAACTTTAAGCATGAACCATGTGCACATAACTATTAAAAACAAAAAGTAACAAATGGTGTGTTCTAAATCTCAACATAGAACTCGATTATAATACATTAATAATTATTATTTGTGCTAATGAATAGTATTAATATTGATAATATTAATTATTAATATCTGTGATAATTCATTATTATCTATGAACTATGAAGCTGACACACTGGACTATAGGTAAACAAAAACAGAGGAGGAAAAACATGTGATGCAAAAACGTATGGTTGGTGATCTTTTCTATTTCCATGGCAGCCAAAATTTTCTCAAGCAGAAATCTATTAATTCTTACCTTTTATTTCACACACAGCCATCTTTATACTTCCTTTGCTGCCTTTGCAAACATCATCCTGGGAATCATAGTATGACAATATCCCATTGTCTAAAACAAACCACCGAGGCTGCCAACCTAGGGAGACCAAAAATGTGAAAGTTTAGTCTAATTCCTAAATTGTAAATAAAATGAATCTATTTGGCTGATAAAACATTAACAAAAGAGGCAAACATTAAATTATTCTTGTAACACACCAGGAAGAAATCAATCTGTGCAGTCTGAAGATCAAAGCCACTCAATAACCAGACTACTGTTATATGGAAGCCTAAGGAAGGGTTCTGAAGTTCCCTGGTTTGGAGGACTACTGGCTTCCAGCAGAAGTTAGCTGCATGCTAACAGTCCATGGTATGTATAGCATTCACAGCTACTGTTGAGTATTTGCTTATTAAATAACAGACTTAAATAGGAGCAAACACCACAAGAGTTCATTTTCCATTTATCTTTTGCGACAACAACGTTTTCAGTAATGTAAGTGAAAGTGACAACTTTCATTGTTTTGGAAACAACTTTGTGCTCATTCTTTCTCTCATAACCACAACCTTTCCTCTATGTGTTTTCTCTATAGTCACTGTGAAGAAGAGACAAAGACATCAAATATCTATCTAATTACAGTACAACTACTCCCTTTTACAAGAAGGGCAATTATGTATCTGTGGACACATAATTGCTCTGAAAAATGCAAGATTACACTCTGTACACTTCATTTGACAGCACATCCATACAATCCTCACAACGTGGCCCACATTTTATAATCCCTCAGAACCAAGTTTCACACCACTTAACACTCACAACCTGCATATGCTGAAACAGAATTCCCCACATGAAGTGCTGAAGAACCAGAGGGCAGAGAAGATACTGCCACGGCAGTGTAATAAGAGGCATGAAAAAGCATGATCCAATGCTGATCTGTTTGGGAGAGACACTTAGTCCTACACCACAGTGGCAGAGGAGAAATGTTTCACCTTGACACCAGTGCCTGCCCACTGCCTGCCCCAGAGGGAGATGGTGTCTCTATTACAGCAGAGGATCAGTCAAAGACAACAAGGCAAATGCTGATATTGGGTGCAAAACTTTTTGTCTGCAGCGTCTCCAAAAACACATTTAACGAAACTGATGTTCATCGTGCACTTTCCAGGCTGGGATACAGGAGCTCGCTGTCCCGCTGAGAGTCTCTGACTAACTCGGCAAGACGCAACCCAGGTGGCGAAGGGTCTCGGCAGAAGGCCAGGGCCGGGCACAGCTCCGTGCGGCTGCCGGGGCAGTGGGTTCACCCGGCCCGGCCCGGCCCGGCCCGGCCGCCGCCCGCACCGGGTGAGAGCGAGGAGCGCTGCCGCCCTCGGCCCGGCCCCGGAGCCGGCTCCAGGCCACCGCCGCCCCAGGGCCGCTTCCGTGGCGACGCTCGGCTGCTCTCCGGGGCTTATCTCCGAGCACCAATGTCTCAGCCAACGCGTTACCGACCGCTCCGGCCCGGCCGCAGCACGCCGGGACCCCCCGAGGCTCAGCAGCAGCAGCAGCAACAGCAGCGGCGCATCACGGCCGGAGCCGAGCCGAGCCCCAACCGCCGCCCCCCGGGCCCGGCCCCCGCGCCTACCCGCTAGATAGTTGGTCCACTTGTACAGGACCCCCTCCATCGCTCAGAGCCCGGCGCCGGGCCGCATCCTCCTGCTCCGCCGCGGGGAACGGGCGGCCGCGGCCGCCGCGGGGATGGCGCTCCCCTCCCGGCCCCACCGCTGCCTCCCCCGCGCGGAGGCGGAGCCGCTCAGCTCAGGCGCGGCGGCCGCGGCGGCTCCGGCGGCGCCGCCCGCCCCGCGGGGCGCTCTGCGTCCCCCATGCGCGCCCGGCCGCGCTCCCGGCCCCGCCGCCCCGCGGCCGCTTCCGACGTCCCTTCCACTTCCTGAGCGGAGAGGGCGGCCCGAAGAACCGCCCGCCCCGCGGCCGCTGCTGGGGCCGGGCTCGTCCCCACGTCCGGCGCGGCTGAGGCGGAGCGGCGGTGCTGGCTCGGCCCCCGCCCCTCGGCGCGGCGGGGACAGTGCCACGCCGGCGGCCGCCTCGCAGCGACATGGGCCGAGGGCTGACCCTGCTCCTGCTGCCGCTGGCGCTGCTGGCGGCCCCGGCGCGGGCCGAGGGCGGCACGGCGGCAGCGGAGGAGGTTAAGATAGAGGTGCTGCACCTCCCCGAGACCTGCAGCCCGAAGAGCAAGAAGGGCGACCTGCTGAACGCGCACTATGACGGATTCCTGGCCAGCGACGGATCCAAGTTTTACTGCAGGTGAGCCCCGTAGCACCGGGCCGGAGGACGGGCGGAGGGCCCTGCCCTGAGGGTGCTTGGCACAGCTGCTCCGCTCCCCCGAACAGGCGGGGCTTGGGGCCCTCCGGGGCCCGTACTGACCACACCAGCAATAGCACTTCACTTTTCCTCAGCCGAGTGTGGAAGGATGCCGTTTCCGTAGAGTCAAACTAGGCAGTGCCTAGGAGTCCTAGGGTCCCTAGGGAGAAACTTCGAGAGCCTGTAGCTCATACCTCGTACGGAGCCCCCTTTGTCAGAGTGGAAAAAAAACCAACATTATGTTGATACTTGCCGTGTTCTGTGCTGTAACCTGTGCAGAAAAACTTGGGTTGGGAGGAGGAGCTCCTAGTAGAAATGCACACTGACAATTTTAGGCAGAAACTTTTATATAGCATCCACTTCCACATAGTTGGCACTGTGCAGTGCAACCACATTATTATACTGGTGGTTTGCAGCCTTTTTGCCTCGTGCCTGTTGCTGTTTCCCTGCTTGATTTGTTGTGCCGCCCATTTTACCACAAAGTTATCATTTCATCTTTTGCTTTTTGACTTTGCCTCATCCATCTCTCCTCAGGCAATAGCTTAGCTCATTACAATATCTTGATCCATTCCCCCACTTCTATAATTTAAGAAAAAAACTCAGTGTATAGGATAACTCTGCATTTAACAGTACCATTTAAGTTGCATTTCTTTGCCTGTTGAAGTGGCTGACTGGTACATAGAGCGTTTTTCTCTGGATGTTTTGCTCAGTTGCTGTTCAGTGTAGTGCCCACACTGGGGAGGCCTCGTGTGACCAGAAGCTGCCTCAAGCACTGGCTGCCTGAGCTGGCCAGAGGGGTAGGTGAGCACACAGTGCTGCAGCCAGCATTGCCAGGTTCCCCCAGCACACACCTACACTCCCATCCCATCCCATCCTACAGTGTTGTAAACTGCTGAGAACATTTTCACTTTCCAGTGCTCCGCACTTGTAGACTTCCTGCAGTGGCACCTTGTTTCTGGCCTGCGGCGTGCATGGTCAGGAAGATTGGATGTTTTTATAGAAGTTCAAAAACGAGCTTTTGGTTTTTTTTAAAAAAAGGTTTACCCTTACATATATCAAAATCTCACCTTAAATTACAAATGTAGCAGAAAAAGTATTTATACTTTGTATTCTTGCACTCTTAACATTCTTGTGTCCTAATAATCTATGTTCTTATTAGCTGCAACTAAAAGTTATATTTATGATAAAAATATTATGTTAATATTACTCATACACAATTTTTTTTTTAATAGTCGGACGCAAAATGAAGGTCATCCAAAATGGTTTGTTCTGGGTGTTGGACAAGTCATAAAAGGCTTAGATATTGCTATGATGAACATGTGTCCTGGAGAAAAACGGAAAGTGACAATTCCTCCATCATTAGCATACGGACAGCAAGGATATGGTAAAAGTTCTAACTCTAAACCTTGTCTTTCCTGTGTCTTTTACCCTTTGAAACATACAATACATAGCATTGTAAATGTCTGTGAGAACTGGTGCTCCCGTTTGGAGGCAGTGCAGCTGTGCAGCCCCTGCTCATTGCTATGCAGTTTAGGTAGTCCTGACACAGACCCACACCCAGGCCTTGCAGTTCCCATTAGAACTCAGTCCATGCCACCCAATGTGTTTTCCCAAGTAATGCATAGTGTGAAGCAAAAGGAAGATCTCTATGAGCAATATCAGCGTTATTGTGTTAAAATATGAAATTCCAGTCACATTTTGTTTTATTATTTGACTGCTACCTGTTTAGCCTTCTAATGAAAATCTACATCTTCTGAGTAGAATGGAATATAATGCAGTGCAATTAATCTAAATAGAAATAATTTGCTTAAAATACTGCTTACATTCTGAATAGTTAATGGCTCTCATTATCACATTACACGGTAATTGCAACAGTGTAGTGCATGAAATCTGATTTGAATATAAGATAATTCAGTGTGCAGATTACTTAAAAAAAGTTCCAGTACAAGTTTTATGCAGTGTTTGAGCACTCAAATGTAGATAAATTCAGCTCTGACCTGGCTGTAGGAGTTTCTGTGAAAAGGTAGCTCTGCTTTATAATAATAATATTTTGGTACTGATGTGTCAGAATTCAATGCATCAGTTTTGTCTTTAATACAATTTCATACAAAAAGGAAAAACACTGATACAAATAAAAACTGTTCTTTAATACTAGTGTTAACTGTTTGTTCCAGGTAGCACTTGAAGGAAGAAGTAGTATTTTCCTACAGCACACCTGTCCTCTGTCTCAGCGTATTCCTGCATGCTGGGGAAGATACCTGCCTAATCTTGATTAAAAAAAGATGCATGTGACTTTCTAAATCTTTACATGTCTTTCCTTTGTTGGTATGTATATTTGTAAACTGCTGGCACTGAATTCTAGTATTGTATCTTTCTTTTATAAGGTATATTTAAATCTTGATTTATATTCAGATGTATTTAAAACTACTTTTCTAAAGCATGGAAAGTTAAAACCTTTTGAACTCTTATTTTTGCTATGGCTACTTTAGATGAGTAGTGTAATAGTTTTGTTTATCATCTGTTTACAAACAGTGTAGATTCTTTAGCTTTTCTTCAGTTTATGAAGGATGGACACAAGCTCAAAATTCTGAGGTTACAGTGTCATGCTCACTGGCTTTGGCAGCTTGCATGTTTACATTTTAATTTTACACTGCATGATTTTTTATGCTCTTTTGGCACTATTTTAGACTACATTGCTTTGTTGCTGTCTCTTTTCAGTTCCCTTTTTTTGCCAGATGCACGATACATGGACCTGTGTTTGTAGGCAGTGCTGGTTTTACATCAGGTGGCAGAAAATGCTATGATCCAGGAACAAAGAATTCTAACAGTTATTTTCTTAATTCAGAGGCCAGACAAAGTATTCCAGTAATTTGAAGTTTCTGTGGGGATTTTTAACAAGTCAGATGACTTACATTCTGTTGCTGCTTTTTGAGATGTACATTTTAAACATTATTTTACAGCATCCGTAAAGTACCTTTTACCATACCTGTGAATTTATCATATATGTGATCTCTGCCCATAGTGTCTCAATCCTTAAACACTTTTTTTCTTTTATTCATAGCACAGGGCAAGATTCCACCCAATGCAACACTGATCTTTGAGATTGAACTTTATGCAGTAAATAAAGGACCTCGCAGTGTTGAGGCATTTAATCAAATAGACAAAGATGGTGACAAGAAGCTCTCTGAACTTGAGGTAATATGATACAAAAAATTTGAAACAAATAATTTATAAAACTATAGGTGTGGCTGCATTAGTTTTATCTTTACCTGAGCTCTCTCTGCTGCAGCTGATCACCTAAGGTTCTGTGTGTTTACACAAAGTACACTGTGCTGTAGTTTGCTGAAATTTGCTTTAATACATTAGTAAGTCTCACACTTCTGTAGACAAGCCATAGATGTGTCTGCACTGAAATCACAGTACATTACTTGTATACTCCCAGTGTCCTTGAAGATAGCTAGATTGAGTACTGACATAAAAGTCACAATGATTTGACTTTTTTCTTTTGTTCTAGATAAGCCAGTATTTGAAAGAAGAATTTGCAAGAGATGGCAAAAAACGTCATCCTTCTGCCCATGATGAAATCTTAGCTGATATATTTAAGAAGAATGACCATGATAGAGATGGCTTCATATCAGCAAAGGAGTACAATGTCTACCAGCATGATGAACTCTAAGTACTTAAAAAAATCTTTGGCTGTCTTCTGCACACTGAATTCTAAATAATAATACTTTGTCACATAATTTTTGTATTTTTTTGATAGTGGGATCTTTTTGTATCTCTTAAGGTGACTGTAAAAATCTTATTTTTAACATTCAGTTAATAAAACGTGTCAGATGTTTCAAAAGAAAGAAATAAAATTGAGGTACACCATGATCTAATATTTGTGGTTCTTACAACACGTTCCGATCTACAGTATTGCTCACACTGAGCAATACTGAGCTCAGTATTGAGCACACAAAAGTTACAGTAATCTTTGACATAGCTGGAATATAACTGCTGAACACTTCTAAATCCCCTCTAAAATAAAAAAGGAAAATCTCAATCCCCTGTAAAATAAAAAGGGAATCCCAGGAATATAACTCTTAGACCCCTGCAGGCTCCAGGCCTAGCTTCTTGAGGAAAGGCCATTTGCAGCAATTAACTATAAAAGGCCTTAAAATCGGCCAACTCTGTTTAGGGAATGTTAAGATAAAAACAAAAATGTTTTTAAAACAAAATAACCTCTTGGATGTAATATTAACAAGAAGAATTTGGTGTTGAAGAAAAAGCAGTATTTTGAGTGAGTGTTTAAACTTTGACTTAGTAAAATCATTATGTTAGCCAGTTTATTCAGCAGCACCAAGTTAAAAATCTACACTATCATAATTTAATTGAATGAGGTTGAAGATGATGGAAGATGCTGTATATAAACGTAAGTAATTAATTATTTGAACATCATTCTGGTTTTCCTCACTGGAAAAATGCAAAGAAGTAGGAATAGTTAGTAGGCAGTACTTGTATCTGTTAACTGTTCTGCTTGTGCAGAACACATAATACCACTCATGTAACATGCTTAACTCTTCTCACATGAAAAGCAATGGCTGTATTCATTTCAACATGTAATAATCAGATGTACACAGTGAAAGTGGCAGCACAAGTGAAAAAGCTTCCATACCTAGGTTATCCTTGAAATAATTTTAAAAGGTATAAAAAGGTTTTTTGCTCTGCCAGTGTAAAACAGTGTGGTGAGAGGTTTTAACAGCACCCTGCCCCACAGCCCAGTCCTAGCCCTGGACACAGATCTGTGGTGTTCCAGTCCTCAACAGACTCAATTTTCCTTGGATGCGGATGCACCTGTTAAAGACGTTCACCCCTGAAGTTGCTGGAGTGAGCAGTTCCATTATTTTCATAAGCTTCCTAAACATTTTCTGCTAAGCAGTTTTTTTTCTGAGCGCATAAAAGAAAGTCAAGGGCAGCTGTGACACAGAATCCAACTGCAGCAGGTAAATTGGCTGGTACTTTTTCATAATTAAACAAACTTGATATTCGGCAACAGCACCCTAATATGAAGCTCCCATCCATAGTTCCAGTTGTTCCCTTTTGTAACTGAAACATTAGACTGAGCTAAGTTTTAGCATGTGTTTTAATCTGATACTTCAATTAAACATTCATGAGAACACTAAATTATTAACAAATATTCTCATTTAACCATCATATGCCAGTGTAGAGAAAGGCAACATTTTGGGGTTTAACAACAAGTTTGTGTAAACAACTTTAAGTTCTAGCATATATTCTGACATTATGAAAATACTATTTAAAAGTATGTTTTTCATTATCATGATAATGAGAAGGTTCTAGGAAAAACAGCAATGTCAGGAAATTCATGTGCATTTTAAAGTAGAGGTCATTGACTGCAAAGCAAAGAATTTGAAGAAAGCAGCGTAATAAAATGTTTTGCACTTTCACCGTTTTGCATGTCACAATTGGAGACGTATTTGCTAACTCTGAAGAGTTTGTGGCACAGTTATGCCCATGTCTGTGATAACAGGCACTTACCCAGATCAGTTACTTCATTCTCTTATGCCAGAGGTCAAAACACGGCACGGCATGCAGTCGTACATACTTCTGTCCATTAAAAGAACACTCCAGGCATCCATAGACTGTCTCCCTTTTTGAACTTCCCATTCCACAGAGGACACAGGGGCCTTTGGGGATGTTGTTATTAAGTAAATTAATTCGGATATGAGAACCGTCTCTGAGATAGCTTGTAGAGAGATCAGTCATGCTTGCAGCTTTTTCATAATAATCTGTAAAAAGGTCCTCCAAGTAAGGATCAGAGTTAGCAACGATTTCCACTACTCCTTTATCTGAAAAAGAACACACAAGGAAAAGAAGCAGTATTTTGTTATAATATTATATGATTTGTTGTTTAAAAAATATCAGTTTAATTATAGAAATAACAGCTGATGCACAAAACTGTTCTAAGCATGCCATATAGATTGCTTCCCATTGAAAACCCTGTGTGATTAAAGTTTTTCTTCAACTTCACTTAAGACACTGAAAAAAGCCAGAATTTTTGTATATGACCTATGTAATTATATTTTTAGAAATATACCTAAAGGATGGGCATGCAGCAGGCTTCTGAGAAATTGGTGCAAAGTCAAACCACAGTGTACTTCCTTGTTTCTATTTTTGCATTTCTAGTTTTATGTTCTAAACATTGTAAATTCACTTTTATTTCCTATTATATAAAAAAAAAAATCCCACTACTACTTAATATGTTTAGAAAACTCAGAGGACTCCTTGTTAACCTCCTAGCAGATTTCTGAGGATCCAGATGTGCCAGGTAGGAACCTTTCCTTCTCTCTTCAGGGACTTACTAGATTGAGTGAAGGACGTTTAGGCAGCTACAGCTCCTGAGATGTATCATACCCACTGAAGATGTATTCCCTTTGTGTGGACTGCAGCAGCACTGAAGGCTTGGTCCATGAAAGTCCTTTGATCAAGAATGGACTACAGTGGAGGAGGAACACCTAATCACAGCATTTTTGGGACCTGTTTACTGCTCAGCATTTATCTTCACACTCAGATCTGCAGATTTCCAAAGTACTTGGACTAAGGAGTGTTATAAGTTTAAGATCTTAGTCTAAAGCTGCATACAGGGATCTGCATTTTTGTTGGATGCTATGTTGATATTAGAATGAAAAAAGAGGACTGTGATGGTATCCTGTCACGGGAACATAGTGCCTAAGGAGTACATTCAATTATTGCAGTTAATATTGTTTGATATTTAAAATTACAGCTTTTGCCTTCAACTATTACTATAATTATAACTCGTATAATATGAGTTGTAAATGGCAAACCCATGAAATAGGCTCAATGTTATGCTAGCTGTGTAATTATTCACTACCAGTTTACCAACAGCCATACGTTTTTTAAGATCTTTAGAGTTTAATGAATAGATTTGTTATTTCTGAGAGACAGGTTCCCAAATGTAAATTTTAATAACTCTATAATCATTTCAATACATAGAAATAGAATTTCAATTCACTTCAATAGAAATTGAGAGGTTCATTTTGCTTCAAAATTTTTTTCTTTAAACATTCATCTTGGACAGAAATTAAAGAAGCAAAGGTACACTTTTAAATAAGACATTTGTGTATAAATATCAAAAAGTCATACTTCGATGAAACAGATTATTCTTTAATCTCCTGAATTTGATCAGTGAAGATGATCCAGATTTCTCCCTTTCAAATCCTCCTTTTGCAATTGGAGTCACACAGAGTTCTGCAAAAATGAAAAGTTTTTCAAAGGACTAAATATAAAAGCCATAATTGCACAACAATTTAATATGCTTTCTAATCAATAAAGTTAACAGTGATTAAATTTAGCTTTACTAATGTTTTTAATGGCTAGTATAACTTTTTAATACAAGTCTGCACACAGTAGTAGCTCACAGAATCAAGTACACAGATTTGATGGGAATTTTTAACGGTTGATGGCTTTCAATTAAAATCCTCAGAGCCTGTTTTGGTTTATACACAAATTTTGGTCATGTTAAGGGGTCAGGGCAGTCAGTAGCATAACAATGGAAGCCCTGGTTCTGAAGGACAAACATTTCTGTAGTTTTACCTGAAAGTAGAAATGAAACATTGTAAGCAAGGCTGTGAGTTCTGTACTTACCACTTCCAGTACTGAATTCTATCCATAACTTGAAAGAAATACTTTAAGGTAAAATCTGCTATGCAAATTTTTTATTTGTTTCCAATTGCTGCAATTAATTCCACCTAAATAGCTTTAGATATTTGTATGTGAAAATGATGTATCAGACTGAAATTAAAGCCCCAACAGCGAAAAAGTTATTAGTTTAGAAGTTCTGTACACTTTTTTCTTCACTTGTATCTTTGTACTTGCCTATTTTATGCAAAACTTATCAGATAGTCTCAGAAACCTGTTCCTCACCAGCTAGAAATATAACTAAGTGGGGCTTTTTGTTCCATGCAACCACAGAATTTAAAAAATACCAAGTCTAACTTTTAAGAAATGTTCCCACAGCAGACTATTTTCTTCTAGCACCTGCCTTGTTTTCTTTGCAAGCATTTCTGTCAGAATGTCAGAATACTTATGTGCATAAAGTTAAAACATCCCATTGTATGGGATCAGGGCTTCTGTATACCAAGAGCAATGAAACAGCTTTTAAAACTTAGATCATTATAAACAATAGCAGTAATGACAGTAATTCACATCACTTACCGAAATTACCATCCAAATGAATGTAGAGTTCAAATACACTAAAAGCAATAGTTGTATGTGCAGGAAAAACAATGGCTTTGTCCCGCCCTTTAGAATTCTGATCTTCAATTATGTGAAACTATAATTTCGAGAAGGATCAAAAGAAAAAAACATTACAAATTGAAACGAATAAATAAACAAAATACTAATCTTAACTTCATATATTGAGAATTATAATGCCAGGGGGAAACTTTGAAATTGAAGATCAAATTTCACAACTGAAGAATTTTCTATTAACTACTTTGCATTTTAATAAATTTTGATACAGAGAGAGTAATTTGCATCACTTAGTGAAAATTATGTGAATGATTTATTAGTACTAGAAAGAGCAAAGTTAGAAGTCTTCTAAGTTTAATTATTGAAATGCATTGAGGGGGAAGGGGGAGGAAGAGCATAAGACAGGGAATAAGATGCCAACCCTTCAAATAATAACCTGAAATTCCAATGTGCTACAGAAGATGACCGTAATAATGAAATAATAATGAAAGAAAGGTTATACATTTATTAGAAAGTCAAACTAAGAAGTAGTAAATTCCACTTTTTTGCTGAGGCTTTACCCCAGGCAATGGCTCATTGTCTAGCCATCTTTTCATGCATTTCCCATCCCTCTGTCATATAAGTACTGCTAACAAAAGACCAACTTTTAAACCACTTTACATTAGTACAATAATATCGGTTTACTTTAGATTTTTTATGAGCTCACATTATAAAAACACAATTAAATCAAAACATAAAATTTATAATAATGACCTTTTTATGCTTGATAATTTGAGTTACAGAACTTTGTCAAACATATTTACCCTCATTGTCTCTCCACGCATTCCAGTATGGACAGTTAATGAGCACTGCCTTGTAGTTCGAATACTTTCCATGACCACACACAAAATTTCCATCCTACTTTTTCTTGATTGATGGACTAGACAATGATCAAAGTTTATTTTTCTAAAATCAAGAGGGAGGCAGGAAGGAAATTCAGACATAATTAGCAGTTTAAAAAGCAGCTAAGTAACTTTAAATCAGTAAATAAATCACCATAATGTCTGTTTCATAGCAATAAAACAGCTACTGACCAAGGAGATCTCTGGAAACTTAATATTGGTTTTCACTGTTTGGGAACAGAACTAAGAAATTCAAGGAAAGCCAGTATTCTACAGATATTAGAGAAGATACCTGGGACACCCTGGAAAATTCAAAGCCCGTTCATCTGACTCTGGTTTTAGTGCCATTAACTGAAAAAAACCTATATCACTTATAAACAGTACTGAACAATCATGAAACAAATGACTGTAGAATTTCTACAAACAGTGGCAGTTAGTTTTATGACACTGAATCTTTTTTTCAGGAGACTAGGTCCTCTTCCCTCACCCCCATTTATTAATGATAACATTTGGAGGTTAAAAATAAACTAGGAAAATAGGGAAGGAGAGGTTACAGATAAAAAATGGCATGCACTTCTTGGTAAATACCAACAAGGTAACAATATATATTTGCAACTGCCAAATGTTGCATCATGTATAGTAAATTATTTACTGGGATGCACTGCCGGGATTCACTGGGATGACATTGTCACCAAGGGACAATCTTTGAAATATAAAAAAAATAATTACCCCTAGAATTTGTCACATCATATTTCTACACATCTGACATCTGTGCTAGCACCACAGGAAACAAGAAGTTCATTTTCAGCCTCCACAACTCAACAAGAATGTTGGTAGAAGAGACTTGATTTAAAGAAAAGTCACAGAAGGTTATGAAAATTTAAGTAGATAAACCTACTTTGCTTTTACAGAATAGGCAGTGTAATAGCTTCATAAAACCTCAAAGTACCTACCATGGCAATAACACATATGGCTCTCTAGCTCATCAAGGGCAAAGAAATCCTATTTCTGGAACCTGAAGTTAGGTAATGTCATTCAAAGTAGGTTTCAAATATTCAATACTATGGTATAACACGATAGGAGTTTTGATGGGCTCTTTCTTTTTTTTCTTTTTTCCTGAGACATGCACTATAATTCAAAGAATTCAGAAAAATTTTACAGCCTGTATTATACAGGTCACGTGTCTAATCCCAGTGATCCAACCTGATACCCTTGAAAATATCAGATGGCGACTGCTACTGATTGACTAAAAATAATCAAAACCTAAGAACTTCAGACTTGCAGCCTAACTGTATGAAATAGAATTATGGAAACAGAAATCAAAACACAGAATACAACCTTGTAGTAAGTTCTCTCAGTAATGTTGGTACTTCAACTTCATGTTTGGTCACTATGCCAAATGAAGCTTTAAAGGCAATGGAATCTGATCCAGCAACATCAAAACCAACATCATTCATTATCTGATTTCCTCTTCTGCCATTAAGTGAAACATCTGATTTGTCTTCATAGTTGAGCAACTGGTAAGACGAGACACCTGAGTAAAAGAAGATAACCTTTGTGTGATGATGAAAAGTCTGAACACAGTATTTTCACATAGCCAGAATAAATGGTACCATTCCTACTGTGCTTAATCATTTTGATACGAAATTCAGAGCTACACTGAGCACTTGTTTATTGATGTTACTTCTGATGATTGATGGAAAGAGTACATTGGAGTCCTGGGTTTGAATAGAGCTATTTTCAAATTTCTGTGTTCATCATTATTCTCCTCGAGTACTTCCACCTGTAACTATGATGCTGATACAAATAAACCAGACATGAGGTGTGTTTTGGCTTTAATGACAAAGGCTCTGAAACCCAAAATAACTCAGTGGAGGCCACACAGAATATTAAAACTAGGAATAAAATGAAAGCCACTGTATAAAAAGTATTAGGGAATTCTGAATTCTGTCAAGATGCTATACAAAGACCCTAAATTTTCTTCATTTTTGCAGTACACGAATGAGACATGGGTCTGCCAGTAACATTAACTCTGCCCAGGGACTACGTCAGTTTTTTTGGAAGGAAAATAAAAGATTAATTCTGACTCATTTTGCATTCAATTATTGTACAACCAAAAGGTAGGTACCAAAGCAACTCTACAAAAATGTCTTTATAATATCAAATACATTTCCATTACATTAACAGAAAAAATACTGCACCAGATTGGTTGCCAAATTAAAAAGGACACAGGGATTAGATTTCCAAATACATCTAAGAATTTGTGTTTTACTCCTTTTTTTGTTTTTAATCCTTTGAAGATATTAGGATAAGCTGGCATTGTGAAGTCATCTACTATGAATCTTGTTTGTGTTTATTTTTAACGAAAAAGAATGTTAATATATTTTTTCATAATTCCAAAAGGATTGAAAATGCTTGTCTTTGTCGCATAAAAAAGGAAATTCAATTACAAACCTCCTTGCTTATGTTAAAGGACTTTCTTAATACTTTCTGCACACAACATTTAACCTTTACAGAAAAGACTAGTAAGGTTTTGTGAGAATTTTTAATGAGATTTTGCAACCTTTTTCTCAGACTTTTTAATGAGATTTTTGATTTTTTTTTTCATTCAGGACAAGCCAGCTGACTTCTCCTGAATGTAAGACATAGGATTAAAATTTTTCTTATCATGCCTGTGTCCTGAAATCCCCTCTTGTGGGATCAAGTGGTATTTTCTCTGCTTATATTAGTTTGTCTTAGTAGAATTTTTAACTGATACATTTGTTGCGCAAGTAAAATCATCAATAATTTTACCAAAATTAACAATAAAAAAAATAAAGCAATGAAACTGTTTTGAGAAAATCTGTAGACATGAATTACACACTTTTCAAAGGAATGTACAGGAAGATACAGGCCATATAGTGCAATTTTGCAATTCTTAATTCTATTAGAATCTCCTCAAAATTTACACTATGGCATAGAAAAAGGAATTTAAAAACCAGTTAAGCTCTTTAAGTACACCACAAAGATTGCAAACGTGGAAAAAGTCTTATGAAAATCCAATTACACCAGTCAGATGTAATAGCTGTTTTCAAATGCTTCTGCCTGTACAGAGCTCAGTTCAGCACCAGGGACTGCCAGCATGGAAGAGCTGTGGAACTGATTCTTACACACTTAAAAATGAGAATACAGACAAAGGGTGCATTTCTAAACAAAATTTACGTAAAAATTAATCAACATACATCAGTACATCTGTCAGGAATTGGAGGTTTGTGGAAAAAAAAAAGGTCTTAACTGAATTTGTTTAATACTAGTTCAGAAAATATCAAGGCTTTTTAATACAAATTACTTTCCTTTTTTTGCTCTTTTCCTAGAAAGTCTTTTTTTTCCTTTTTTCTAACCATTTTGATTTATACCTTTTTTCTTAAATATTTATTACATGACTAAGATAGAAAAATGTTATTACCCATTTACTAAGGAAACATCATACTACCTGCACAGTTTAGACTATGTTCACTAAGTCTACTAGAAAACATGCATTTTTCCACTTTAAAAACAGATAAAAATCTTACCTGCAGAAATTTCTTTCTCCCCTTGAAGAATGTCTTTTAATGTGAAAGGTGTTGAAGCAAATTTAGATTTTTTCGAAAGCAAACATTTTCTTTTTTTAATCACAAGGCTCAGAGGTTGGTATCTGTCAGCTTCACTGAGGCTGGGCACGGGAACTAATCTTCCTCCATCACCAACCTGTTTAACGAAGTTTTTGGTTGCAGCAGCAAACATATTATGACATTTGCAATGATAAAAATAGAAAACTCTGTATCAAGTGTAGCTTCCAGACATCGAGCCCATGTTCAATTCTTCTTATATTGTTCTTGCAAACAAATTACCATGATTTGGAAAAAAAATTTTAAAAATCTGTCAAACTGCTTTTTTTTTAGACTGAGTTATATCTCACTTTTAAAGAATCAACAGCATCTTAGCTACTGAACTTCTATGGTGTACTGCTTGAGACTTCTCTCAGACACCTTCAGTTAAGCTCTCTAATTCTGTATGATGAATAATGAATTAACAGTGTAAACTGAGAGGGGAATGGCGCCTTTTTCTTGGCAGTTCATTGCCACCCTTTAAAAGACAAAATTTACTGTCATAGAAACAGAAATCTAACTTCCATGACCCTCAACTTCCCAGTGGGAGTTCCTGGTGTACTGCTGTTTGTTGGGTCCTTGCTGCAGCTGAATTCTGGTGTTTTAGCAGCACCAACAAAGCAGCCCAGGCTGTTCTGGGAGGCACTGGAATTACAGCTGGCTGGGCACTGGCAGCTCTGGGAGACGGTGTTGCCTTTCACAGCACTGCCGTTCCCTGCCTGGGAGAGCTCAGCTGGGGCCGAGTGCTGTGCTGGCCTCAAGTGTGAGATCAGAGCAGGCTGGGGGCACGGGGAAACACCAGTGGGCTCTCATTGTTTGTTATCAATCTCCTGTGACTCAGCTGTCTGTGACCCCAGGGCTAGGCTTGAACTGCATGCATTTAGCTCAGGCTACTGAAAACCTCATTCGGTTGTGAGAATGATGCAAAACAATAAAAGTAAAATTGCAGAAAGAAGTGACAGTATTGATAGACGAATGAGGAGCAACTCAAGAACCCAAGATATAAAGCCCCAGTGTAAAAAGACAGAAAATTGTAAAGAGAAGAAAGACAGACAGTAGAGAGCACTGTGGAGGATCTGTGAGAGAGGCAGAAGCAGCTGATCCACCCTCATGTAAACAATTACTTGATTTTCTAGTGAGATTGATGAACACAGAACTGGCTAAACCTTACAGGTCTTCTTCCAGAGACTCCCTTTGCAGAATGTAAAGCATCAGGCTTGTAAAGTTACACTTCAGTAGTTGTTGTCACCTCGTTGCCAGGTAACAATTGGTTCGATTGGCTTTTTTTCTGAAGCAAGGTTTTTATGTGAAAGTATCTTAAGGATTGTTTTTATAATATGAACACTTATTAAATAATTATCATGTGTTAATACTTCCATAATATTTTTAAAGGTTCAGAGCATCAGAAAATCCAACAAAATGGCCAAAAGAGGAGGGCATTACTTCAGCTATCTAAGATGAAAGGAAAGGCTGCTAGATCGTTCTGCTTACTCTAGAGGGTGCTGAAAAATCAAGTCAGGTTATATATAGACTTTGAATTGAAAGCTTGGGAAAGCCTGCAGTTAATTCTGGCTGTAATTCATACTACACTATCTGAAAAACCCTGTACATATTTACTCAATCAAAACACATTAACAGAATTGAAAAGCTTTCAAAGGGAAGAAATGTCTAAGGGAACTCTAAAATGAAAATTGCCTGTTGATCCTTGGTTTAGATTAATCCTGTATATATATGTTTGACAGGATACTATTTTTCTACAAATTGTTAAGACCAGCTGGCACTGTTTATTCAACATGCATTTGTATTTTTCTTACTCACTATGTGGTCATAGATCATACTCAGCGTGATCTAGCTCTAATTTTGATAATGAATATTTTCATTTGAAATGTTTACGTGCTATTCCTGTTACTCTAACACCCTATAATCCATCATAAATGCTTCAGCAGATGTTTGTGCTGTCCTCATGCCACAGATCAGAGAACAGGAGTCCAAGTACAGGGACATTGCCATGATCTGAAAATGTTCACTAATTTTGCACATCAAAGTGAAGAAACATAAGGTATTTCCCTGCTCCTCCAGCACTAGACACTTTTCTACTTGGCACACCAGTGTGCTTTATGAACTTCCAGCATTTTTGCATCTACGGTATGCTCTCATTTTGGGCAACCAATTAACCAAAACCACTTAATTTCCAAGTGCATAGGTTAGGCCTGAGTCACCACTGGAATAAAAATATCTTGCCTTGTCTCGCCAAATTGTGCAGATGAAAATCCTCGCTCACATTTGCTCCCTGGGGAGGATCTGGGCTGAAATGTTCCATTGCCCTCAGCACAGAGCCACACAAGGGCACTGGTGAGGCTCCCTCTGCACAGCCCTCCACAGAAGAGCACGGGGACTTCTCCAGCCGGATCACCTTCCCCTGGAGGGAAGAGCAAGAGAGGTTATTTCCTACACATGATCAGTTGTGTTTTTTCAGAGGGGGTGTTAACCATGAAGTAGTAACATAGCAAGTATTAGCTATATGGAGTTGAGAATATTTTATGCCTAAATACTGTATTTTTTTCCTCACATCCTATTTATAAAAACATGGAGATTTTTAAGAGTAAAACCTAGAGGACAATCCTGCTCTCTGCATGGTGTTGGAAGATGCAGTTAAAAGATAATTCCATAATGATTTTTGGTTTAATATTAGATAGTTATCCTACATTATCCCTTGCAGGAATGTCTGTCACCTGTAATTATAGTGTCTAAAGAGGCATTTATGATATGATCTAAGGTAGTGCAAACTAGACATTTGTCCAAGGAACTTCAAATGTGGAATTATTTCATTATTTTCAATCCAGACATCTTAAACCATTTGGAATCCACTTGAACTGATCTGACTTTAATTTATTTCTTGTCACAATCAACCATATCATAAGATTAGCATGATTAAGCAGTCAATTGAAGGGAGAAAAGAAATCTTAAGTGCTAACTGACTGGATAAACGTAGTTGATGTTTCACTTGAAAGGATTAAACCCACAATCTACACCAAATTATGCTGGTAATTTGTTTAATATCTTCTTAGTGTACAAAAGGATGCCATCAGTTGCCAGATCTCCTGATACAGGAGATACATGAGTGTATCATGTACACTTCAAGTGCAATTGAACTGCATTACATTTACCTGCATCTCTGCAGAAGAACAAGTGCAAGAATTTAACATACAAAAAACAGCAAAAGAAAATGCTACTGAAAAAATTACTCACAAAATTCTGTAACTTTCCAGCACACGGCATGAGTATTTCCCTAGAAACACAGGATCTGAGCAATACAGACTCTGTTATATTTCAGGAGGTAACAAACATAACATTTTATGGGGTAAAATATGCTTCTAATTACATACACACTTTTTGGGTTTTTCCAACAACTTGAGTGGGTTTAATAGCACTTGATTTTTTTTTTTTTTTTTTGAGGTGGCATTGTCTAGAAATTCTCATGAGCAAAACCAGCCAGTTTAATACCATGGCTTACATAACTTCAGAGCTCCTGGAATACAAATTCTGGTGCTTGTTTTATATGCTCTTCCATAGACTTACCTTTCAGGTTCCAGACCTTTGTTCACGGACATACAGATTACTTAATCTATGCTTCATGTGTCTACCTTTAGAGTGCATGAAATATCCCAGCTTTTTCTTCTTTGTAACTGCCCCAGTACGAATGGCAGTATTTCCAATGGGGAGATGGATGTGTTAACTGTGAAGCCTTTACTAAAAAGGAATGCAAAGTAGTCCTCCAGGGACAGATATGCTGAGGAAGTGTGTCTGCATTTACACTTACCACCTGTGAGAAGCAGGCACATCTTTCAGCTCTCAGCCTGGCAACTGACAGCATCTTTTTGCTCATTAAGTAGATATTAAACAAATTACCAACATAATATGGTGCAAATTTTGGGTTTAATCTTTTCAACACCAGCTCAGTTTATCCAGTCAGTTAACACTTAAGATTTCTTTTCTCCCTTCATCTTCCAGCTTTCAACTGTTACATAAATATTACTGTATACAACAAAGCTACTTTCATCATGCAGCATTATTAGCTTGTGAAGAAAAATCTGGAAAAGAAACAAGCCAGTGTGACCTAAAGTAAACTATTTAATACTTCCTTTCCTTTGAAGGATGCTGCCCAAATGGCTAAATCTTTTTTAACCATTATCTGTCAGTGGGTGTGCCTGTGTGAGAGGACAGCTTTGTGGGCTTGCCCATCCACCTGTATGAGGATGTAGAATTGTAGATGCTGCTGTGCCACTATATCTGAAGAAAAGTTACAGAACAAAGGATTTGTCTGCTACGTTATAACTCACATTGTCCATGCTAAGCTGTCTGATGGGTGCTGGTACATTTACATCTATATAAAATTTCCCTCAGTCATAGACATCTTGTTCCTTGCTGCTTCTCCTTATGTTTTAAACTGAGCAGCAGGACTGCTTTTATTTTTGGCATTGACACCAGCTGTTCTGTGATACTGGGCAATTAACCTCTATGAAACCTACTGCATGTGGCTGTGCCAATGTGTCACTTCTCAGGGAAGGATACTGCAAGGGCTGATTATTACTAGTACAAAGCACCCTCAGATCTTTGGATACAGAGTATTTATAAACAGACAAAATTAAATCAGTGTTTGTAGGGCATGCAAGAATTCAGCATCCTCTTTCATAACCACCTCTATGTTTATTCAGCCTGTTCCTTTTCATGCTTTCAAGACAAGAATATATCTTCATCTAGTTTCCTAATTCATTTTTTTCACATGCCTGTAGGCATAGATTAATAAATGAGAGCAGTTTCCAGATACCAAACATTTTAACAGACAGGTGACATAAAAATTCTTGTCACCAAACAAGAAAAGTAGCCTGATACTATTATTCTAGGTCAGCTGATTTAAGTGAAGTCAGCTCCTGAACTAGAACTGAAGAATGGATGTGCTTTTCTGCTCTTGAATTTCTTTGACTGCTAAAAGTAATGCAAGGCCCTCAGAAATAGCTTACTTAGAGAAGAACTTAAAAGACAATTAACACCTTAAATTTTATCAGCTGAAAGAAATAACCCAACATATTCACCAGAATTTACAGTCCACCTACAGTCCAACAAGTAACCTTTTGA